AAATTCTTCATGTGAGAGTTGGAAGAATATATAGTACTAGCCTACTCAAGTATACAGAACCTTGACTCATTTCAATTGGAGTAGTGGTTGTTGAGATATAGGTGTAAGAATGGGCCTTGTTTCATCATCTACCCCAAAACAAGCCCTTTTCTTACACCTATATCTCAACAATGGCTAATCCAATTGATATCATTCAAAGTTCTGTATACTTGAGTCAGCAAGTACTTAATTCTTCACATTTTTCTAGACCCTCATATGAAGTGTTGGTAAATCTCTCAAAACCTCATTTTTTCACTTTTTCCTACATGAAGCAGAGGATGAGATTCAGACCTCATATTCATGTCAAAGATGTATATAGAATATTTGTATATTATCATATTTATATGGTAACTAGTCCCCAGAAGTTGAGGAAGATATAGTATTTTTTAAGTGGTGCAAAACTTATAGTGAGTCACTGTACACTAACTGAGCAAAAAGATTGTCTGATCATTTTTTGGACAAAGTTGGTGCTATAACACAAGAATCAAACATTTTGAGAACTAAGTTCTAGTGTATAAAATATAGCTAAGGAGGTGTAGATTGTATATACCAAGTCTGGGGATGAACAATTGAAAACTCAGGATAAGGCAGGGAATTGACTGTGACAAGTGCCAAAAATGGGATGTAACAAAGTGGGAAATTCTGAATGACTGCAACCTACTGAAAGCAATTCACAACTTGAGGAAGAGATATTTTGAACACTGGATCTCCCTGCTATTGTTATGAGTTTCATAAAGTCTCTGGGCTAGAAAATTTTATATCCTCCTCTAAAAGGTAAATTTGAACTTATTCTCCATTTTATGTATTTTTCACTCAATATATTTGTTGGAATGAGGTAAAATGACTCCCTATTGTTGTTTGTAGTGTGTATAATACAAAAGGTAGGTAGAAATGTTAAAATGAACATTGCATGATGTCTGTAGAAGCTAATTCCCAGAGTTTTTCTGGAAGTAAACAAATATCTACAACATTGGTCCTTCTTTTCTGCAAGGAGAAAAAATGCTACCATCCTTTTGAATTCATCCATGGAGACTAAGGATGTCTTTTAAACAATGCCTGAAGTATAGCATGATAGAA